CCTGCTCCCCCCCCCAACCCCTCACCCACCTCTGCTCTCCTGATACCTGCCCCCCTCCACCAGCCCTTCTCTCCCCCCGTGCCCACTCCTCTAGGAGCCCCACTCTGATCACGTGAGCTATCCCTCCTCATCCCCTCTCCTAACACCTCCCTCTACACACCTGCCCTGCCTCTCTCCTCTGGTGCTGGTCCCTTCCCTACAGGTGTCTGCCCTTCTGCTTCACCCCCAGAATCCCCTGCACCTTCCCTTTACCCTTGCACCCTCCTGATGCCTCCCCCTTCCCTCACTGCCCCCGCCCCCTTTTTCCCTGATGCCCACCCCCTCACCACCCTCTGCCCCCGTTCCCCTCATGCCCCTGTGCTTTCACACATGCCTTGCTCCATCGCCGCCTTCCTCATGCCCACCCCTTCTTTCAAGCCTTCTCCCAGCACCTCCCCTTTTCCCCTTTAGCCTCTAAAGCCCTTCCCCTCTCCTCTCCCAGCATTATTCTGTCCCCCCTCTCACTGACACCTCCCCTCCTGCTCTTTTCCTCATTGTCTCCACTTGTCCCCCTGGCATTTGTCTTTCTCCTCCACCTTGTCCCTTGGTGCCTTCCCATTTCTTCTCCTGACCTGCCCCCCTCCCCTCAGCACAAGCCCCTTCCTCTCTGACCCTTCCCCTATTCCCTCCTCCTCCAGCAGCCGCCAGCTGGTCTGTAACCGAGTTCTAGGGTCACCCTGACTTTCACCCTTCTGGTGCTCCCCCTACTCCAGTGGTCTCCAACCTTTTTACACCCTAGATCACTTTTTAAATAACAGACCAAGCCACGTCTTGGGTGCCACCTCGCCCCTTGAAGCACCACCCTCTCTATTCTCTTCCTCTCCATCACTTGCTATCCCCAATCCTTATACTGCTGCTTTTTTTTCTTCCAATTCTTCTGTAGGAAGAGGTTTTTCCAATATTTGGCCTATCCAGACTGGACCAAATGCCAGAAAAACTCCTCCTTTTGGAAGCCCCCTTGTTCCTCGTGACACTCCCCCTATCCCTAGAGCTGAGCCTATCACACACTGGAACCCTCTGCCCTGAGCCCCTCAAATACCCCAACCCAAATTCCTGCACCCTCACATCCACAAGCCAGTGGCTTGCTTAGTACCCCAACATTGCCCGGCCTGGAGCTCCCTCCCTGAGCCAGGATCCCCTTCTCCACCTATTCCTGCATCCAGATTTCCTCCCAGAGGGTATGTCTACACTGCCACCCTAGTTCGAACTAGGGTGGCTAATGTAGTCATTCGAACTTGCAAATGAAACCTGAGATTTAAATATCCTGGGCTTTATTTGCATGTTCCCGGGTGCCGCCATTTTTAAATGCCCCGTAGTTCAAACTACCTGCCCAGGCTACATGCGGCACGGGCTAGGTGGTTCGAATTAAAGCTCCTAATGCGAACTACTGTTACTCAGTATTTAAATCCCAGGCTTCATTTGCAAGTTCGAATGACTACATTAGCCACCCTAGTTCGAACTAGGGTGGCAGTGTAGACATACCCTCTGGGAGGAAATCTGGATGCAGGAATAGGTGGAGAAGGGGATCCTGGCTCAGGGAGGGAGCTCCAGGCCGGGCAATGTTGGGGTACTAAGCAAGCCACTGGCTTGTGGATGTAAGGGTGCAGGAATTTGGGTTGGGGTATGTGAGGGGCTCAGGGCAGGGGGTTCCAGTGTACAGATATAGGATGTGGGGCATGGGGAAGTGTGGG